CCCTGGGAATGATCCTTAGAAATGAGGCAAGAGACAAGGGAGTGAGAGAACAGTCTTAAATCCAGTGAATCTCCTACTTACTTCTTCCACCCCTGTTGCAAGAAGGTCTTCCGACTCCACAAACCACAGTGATTCCTTGAGCTCCGCCGGGCTCTGAGTCAGAGAAATGCCTTCCACCCCATCGGCACCCACCATTAGCATCTAGGAAACAAGCAGCACAAGTTAGGGCAGTGGTTCTCAACCGGGTGAACGTGTACCCAGAGCTCTTCCAGGGGGTACATCAACTCATCTAGAGATTTGCCTAGTTTTACCACAGGCTACATAAAAAGCACTAGTGAAGTCAGTACAAACTAAAATGTCAGACAATGCCTTGTTTATACTGCTCTATATACTATACACTGAACTGTATGGGTCACCTGTGCAACCACACCAACCAAGCAGGCAATGCTGAATACACGACAATATTTATATTCCAATTGATTTATTTGATAATTATATGGTGTCATAAACATACAGCTAAGGGTAGCATAAAATCCCTCTTTACCCTGTAAAGGGTTAATTCCTCTTTTACCTGTAAAGGGTTAAGAAGCTCAGATAACCTGGGTGGCACCTGATCAAAAGGACCAATAAGGGGAGAAGATACTTTCAAATCTGTGGGGGAAGGTTTTTTGTCTGTGTCTCCTGGAGTCAACAAGGAAACAGGGCAGGGAAAATACATCTCCCTAAGCCATATCTAAACTAAGCATCTAGTCTTGCAAAAATAGTAAGTAATAGCAAAAAATGTGTTAGATTACCTTCTGTTTTAGCTTGTAAATTTTCCCTGTGCTAAGAGGAAGGTTTATCCCTGTTTTTGTAACTTTGAAGTTTTGCCTAGAGGGGAAATTTTCTGTGTTTGAGTCTTTTGTTATTCTGTAAAGTACTTACCATCCTGATTTTACCGAGGTGATTCTTTTACCTTTTCTTTAATTAAAATTCTTCTTTTAAGAACCCAATTGATTTTTCGTTGTTCCTAAAATCCAAGGGATTGGGTCTGTGTTCACCTGTACCAATTGGTGAGGATATTATTCTCAAGCCTTCCCCAGGAAAGGGGGGTGCAGGGCTTGGGAGAATAGGACTCCAAGTGGTCCTTTCCCCTGATTCTTTGTCTAAATCACTTGGTGGTGGCAGCATACTGTTCAAGACAAGGTGGAATTTGTGCCTTGGGAAAGTTTTTAACCTAAGCTGGTAAAATAAGCTTAGAGGGTCTTTCATGTGGGTCCCCACATCTGTACCCCAAAGTTCAGAGTGGGGAAGGAACCCTAATGTATGGTCAAAATGAGAAAGTCAGCAATTTGTTAGTAATAGTGTGCTGTGACACTTTTTGTATTTTTATGCCTGATTTTGTGAGCAAGTAGTTTTTAAGTGGGGTGAAACTTGGGGTGCACAAGACAAATCAGACTCCTGGAAGGGGTACAATTGTCTGGAAAGATTGAGAGCCACTGAGCTAGGGCAAGCAAACTGCCTCTCCCAATCTTGAGCCCACCCCTTCCTTTTCACAACGAACACTGCAGCCATTTTGCTCCTGGCTTGGTCAGTCTCTGAACATAGCACGCCTGCTGCATACATTATTGTATTACACATACATAGGTACATCTCATCAAACGCCAAAGGCCCAGACCCAGGTTCAGAAAAGTGTGGGCACACAACTGATGTGCAAATGAAGCAAGAGGCCTAGTTAGGGCCATACTTAGCTACTAATATATGCATTTACCTGGTTCACCTGTGCAACTGTAACCCACACACCTCCTGGGTGTGGTGGTCTGTCCCATCTAGTGGCACTTAGAGAGAGAGAGATAAAATGTGTCTGCTCTACAGCCTTAGCTAAGAGCCCGTTGGCTTTTAGCTCATGCACTAAGCTCCAGAGGTCCCCAGTTCAATCCTGCCCGCCGATGACAGGGGTCTGTCGGCGTTACACCACCACAGCAACCAAGCAGACAATGTTGAATACACTACAGGCCTGCATTTGAAAACGCGGCTCACAATGTATTTATGGTCACTGAGCACCATTTTTCCCAGTCAAGAGAAAATTTCCAGAGTGAATATTCCATTATGATAGTTAAATTCTTAACAGTAACCACCTGGTGACCCTTAACTAGAACGTGCTGCAAACTTAATTTTGCCACCTCTTGAATTCTGTATGCTTCACAACGTCATAATGATACTATCCAGCTCTTCTCCACTATTTTTCATCAGTCAACCTCAAAACAAAGGAAGCCAGTAGCACAACTCCCATTTTACAGGTGGGGAAACTGTGGCACAAGAGGGAAATGACTTGCCCAAGGTCACCCAGCAGACCAGTGGCACAGCTGGGAATAGAACCCAGGTCTCCGGAGTCCTGTGCTCTATCCATTAGGAAATACTGCCTTCCTTTCATCTTAATGTTCCATTAACATATTCTCTTCAGTGGGATACAGAACTAGGAGGCAATTCTGATAAACATTAACATCAATGTCTAAAGAAGCAAGGCTAACAGCTAAAGGTCAGAGAACTGAAGAGAATTTTCAAAGCCATGCATAAGAATTTAGCAAATGACAGACTTTGTGCCTTTCTCTCCAAAGCATCATTTCACACAAGTACCTGTTGACTTTCCTTGTCACCATTCCCCATGGATTAAGAGATACAGGAAGAGGGTAGCAACTACATCAATAGGCAGTTCTAGCTGGATTTGAGCCGGTGTGGGGTGTTTGTAGGTCAGTCCTCAGTGTAGATTGCATTAGAAAAGACTAGGAAGTTAGAAGCTACTTGTGTAAATTAGGGAGAGAGTCAGTAACTGCTTTTGAAGTTAGTATGTAAACACAGGCCTAGCCTGGTGCTGGGTGAGAATTAGATCAGTGGAGAAGAGAGGTGTGATTTTTCAAAGTGCTTAGTGTCAGCCTAATTTAGCTCTCGTTAAAGTTAATGGGAGTTTTACTACCAAGACGCTGTGAAGAGCAGAGTTAGAGCGATGCAGTGAGTGTTTGAAAATCCCACCCTAGATGTATGACCTACCAAGTCAGCAGGCAATTTGGAAGGTTTAAAGGTAGGGAAGGTGACTAGTCTGATTCTGCTGGAGTGAGCAGGTCAAGCAGGTGAATGACTTGGACTTCATGGGATCCAGGCAGTAGGGCTAGAGGAATTGCTACCTTTATTTCTGAGGAATCATTTCTGTCCAGCGGCTCTTTGCGTTGGGTCTGCTCTTCACTCGTCCCATTGGCATGTTTCTCCACATCCATCTCTCTGGAGTTTCTGGGGAAACATACGGAGAGAAAAGGAATAAGTCACCAGAGCTTTACCAAGTGTCCAATAGATGTTTATCTCCTGCAGCCCGCACTAGTGGGAAATCAAACTGGGAAACGCACAAGTCCCACTGGGTTGCTGGGAAAGGCCATCTGTGACCGCCAGATCCTCTTGGACGGCCCTGACAGCTCACAGACGGGACGGTTGTGGTGGAATGGGTCCCCTACAGAAAGCTCTGTCAGAATCTGACGCTTGAGGCTGACGATTTCGGTACAAACCTCACAGAGATGTTGCTGTCAGTTTGTTCTGAGGCTGCCTGGGGTTCCTGCTGAGTTTTCTGCTCATTTGTTGGTTCGGGTTCAATGATAGACTTACGTCCTCCAGGGCTGAACCTTGAAAATAAAATTAGGTTTAAACATGAGCATGCTGTGAAAATGCCTGTACCCGAGGGGGGAAATATTGATTTGAAATTCCCAGAGCTCCATGCAACCGCTCCCGAACTTGGCAGGGTGAGGTCCCAGGACGGGTGCTGATGTCTCTATGGGTACATCTGCCTGGCAATCAGGAGGCATGATTGCTGCATACGTAGGCATATCACAGCTAGCCTTGACTGAGCTAGCTGGCTACAAACAGTAGTGTAGCTGTGGCAGCCTGGGCTAGCTACTCGGGTACAATCCCACCCGGGACCCGGGTACATACTCGGACAGCTAGCCCATGCTACCATGGCAACATTACTAATTTCACTGAGCTCCTTTGATCAATGCTCGCTCAGGTGTGCCTATGAATACTGTCCGGATTGCAATGCAGACATACCCTATGCATGAAACTGCTCAACTGTCACTGCTCCCAGCTGCTGCGGGAACTGAGTACGAGTAGCTAATGGACAACATTGAGTATTTCAGGCTGTAAAGAGGAGGGCAGGTCATGCTGCACCTCACAGAGAGGCCACTTTCCATGCACATACTGTGTGGCCGTGTATTGGGGCAGCTGCTCCATTCTGGGGTGGAAGGGGTTAAAGCAAGCCAGCGAAGCTGCGCAGCGCCACAGCCAATCCTGGAAGGGCCTATTGGGAGCCAATCAAGTGGTGACTTAAAAGCAGCCAATCATGGCCAGGCTGGGCCCTATAAGAAGGCTGCAGGGCAGAGGGGAGCTCAGTCTCTCCCTAGAGGGCAAAGGGAGAAGAACTGGCTCTTAGAGAAGCACCTAAGATAGAGCAGAGCAGGGCAGGGCAGGGTGACCAGATAGCAAGTGTGAAAAATCGGGACAGGGGGTGGGGGGGTAATAGGAGCCTATATAGAAAAAACTCCCAAATATGGGGACTGTCCCTATAAAATCGGGACATCTGGTCACCCTAGGGCAGGGTCAACAGAGGATGGGAGAGCTCTGGGTTGACGACTGCCAGACTGGGCCCTTACACAAAGGGGCAGAGAAGGTGATGGGGAAGTGGCCCAGGGAAGTAGGTAGTAGAGGAGAGTTGGAGGAGTAAGTGGCTGTGGCTAGAGGGTCCCTGGGTCGGGGCCTGGACTGGGGGGCCTGGCCTCCCCTCTTTCCCCCCCACTTGCCAGTGATGAGTGGCTAAGCCAGACTGCAGTTTGCCCTTGGAGGAAGGGGCTAGACTGAGGACTGAGGTGAGTGAGGACTGAGATCCAGAAGCTGCTGGTCCCTGGAAGGGGGGAGAGCCAGCGGAGCGGGCGCAGCCGGAGGGCAGTGTCCAGAAGCAGACGCTGTGGTCTGGGAGTGACGTGGGTCTGACTGTGAGGACAGTGGAGACCACGAGAGTAACGGTGAGCGAGATACCACTAGCGAAGGCGTACTGCTGAAAGAGCTAATTCCCAAACCAACCAGCAGGAGGTGCCACTGTGGTGAGTCTGCACCCCGTTACAGGCCAATGTTGGTGTCTTTGCATTTCATTGGAGCAAAGAACTAAGGGGGAAAAATACTGATGTACTGATACTAGGAGTAATGGTCTCAAGTTGCAGTGGGGGAGGTCTAGGTTGGATATTAGGAAACACTATTTCACTAGGAGGGTGGTGAAGCACTGGAATGGGTTCCCTAGGGAGGTGGTGGAATCTCCTTCCTTAGAGGTTTTTAAGGTCAGGCTTGACAAAGCCATGGCTGGGATGATTTAGTTGGTGTTGGTCCCCCTTTGACCAGGGGTTGGACTAGATGACCTCCTGA